ACTATCCCACAAGCCACATGGTGCAACCAAAAGGAAGAAAAAGAAAGAGTATGGTTGTCCCCCACTATATTGGTCAGCTGAGGCAAGCAGCAAAGAAGGACCAGGTGAGTCCAGTTACACAGGTGGCTGGAATTCAAGCTCGCCGCTCCCAAGCCGCATTCTCCCAGCAGCCCGCGTGTGGGGGGAATCTGTTGGCAAGGAGCTGGGAGCCACTTCCCTGTTTTCACCGCCGCCAAAGCCAGGAGCTGGCTGGCGGGTAGGGAAGTCCCCTCTGGGTGTCTGCCCCAGAGCAGTCACTGCTTAAGTGAAGTCCTGCGGAGGGAGAGGGGCTGCCGGAGCGCCCCTGCTGGCCAGGATCAAGCCCTGATCGCTGGGCGGTGAGTCGGCTCTGTGCTCAGCACGGGGCAAGCTTTTCCGCATTTTGCTGCACACCGACTTCCCTCGTGGCTCAGCGGGTAAAGAACCCGCCTGCCAATGCAGGAGACATGGGTTCCATCCCTGGGTCGGGAAGATTCCCTGGAGGAGGAAATGCAACCTGCTCCACTATTCTTACCTGAAAAATCCCACACACAGAGGAGCCTGGCGGACTACAGCCCAAAGGGTCACAAAGAGCCGGATGCGACTGAGGACACATACACAGCATGGCTCTATGAAGCGGGGGCTACGGACACGTCCATGAGGACCCGGGAAAGCGACCTGCCGGGGCCGCCCGGGCAGGAAGCGCCCATGGCACCATACTTCTGTCCCTGGGCACGGCAGCACCCTGTGTGGTCTGGCAGGCCTACCCAGGGTCTCCTGCAGCCAAAGGCGTGCTTCCCCTTTTCTCATGCTCAGAGGGGCCCTCCTCACCCAGGATGAGGCCTTCTCTAGCCACTTTCAGTTTCTGTTGGTGTCAGAGGGCCCTCATAAAACGACATGCGTAGACAAGGCTACAGACTCAATCCTACGTCCTTCCTGCCCCCAAGTTCGTGTGTTGAAACTACCCCGCAGTGCGGTGGGGTTTTGAGGCGCAGCCTTTGGGGAGGATTTAGGTCATGGAGACAGAGCCCTCATGAATGGGATTAGTGCCCTTATTTAAAAAAAAAAAGACCCCAGGGAGCTCCCTTGCCCCTTCTGCCAGCTGAGGACCCAGTGAGAAGACAGCCATCCGTGAGCTAGGAAGTGGGTCCTCACCAGACACTGACTCTCCCAGCATCCTGACCTCGGACTTCCCAGGCTCCAGAACTGTAAGAAATCAGGGTTTGTTTCTAAGCTGCTCAGACTATGGTCCTTTGCCACAGCGGCCCAAATGGGCTGAGATACCCGGCTGGACCCTGGAACTGCTGAGGCCACGGCAACCAGGGAGCAGCGGGCAGAGAGAGGAAGCGACTCTGCCACTTTTCTCGGGAGGCTCCAGGCTCTCAGCGCTAACATGACTTGCCAGGGGGCCCCAGAGCTGGGGGTAAGGGCACGGCAGGTTACTGCCTGGGTGGTTCTCACCACAGTCCCTCTGGGGCCTCGCAAGGGGGGCTGAAAGCCTCTTCCCGTGCCTCAGTGGCCCACCTTGACCTTCAACACAGCTGAGCTCGGAGCCGTCTATCTTACGTCCAGCCACCAGTAGCTCCAAGGCCAGCCCAGGCTGACACCCAGTCCAGGTAGGAAGGGTGACTTTGCGGCACCAAAGTCACCTCAAAATCAGTCCTTTTGCTCCCCAACCACCCCACCCCTGGATCGCCTCCTCCACCCTCTTCTTGTACAATAGAGCCCACACACCACCGCAGGTCATCAGGGTAGGACACCGCCAGCCTCGTTAACTTCTCCGCAAGGGGAACACGGTCCTCATTTTAAAGATAAGGCTGAGTGACCTTGCGCAAGTAACCGTCTGAGTCTGGGCATAAAATGAGGAAAGCGATGCTCACACTTTGGAGTTGCTGTACCGACAAGACACACACACAGCTCTTAGCCCAGGGCCTGACGCCACGGGAGTGACTGAGGATGAGAGGCTAGCATCTCAAGCACCCCGAGGCCACTCCCACCCCGTCTTTTCACCAGGTGAGCCAAGAAAGAGGGGCTTCCCTGATAGCTCCGTTGGTAAAGAATCTGCCTGCAATGCGGGAGACCCGGGTTCAATTCCTGGGTCGGGAAATTCCTCTGGAAAAGGGATTGGCTATCCACTCCTAGAAAGAAGGAAGGTGGAGGGCTTCCCTGGCAGCTCAGTGGTAAATGCGGGAGACACAGGTTTGATCCCTGCTCTGGGAAGATCCCACGTGCCGCAGACTAAGCCCATGTACAACCACCAAGTCTGCGCTCGGTCTGTTGCAACTAGAGACAGCCTCTGCACAGCGATGAAGACCCGGACCAGCCAGGGTTAAATAAGACAAACAATAAATTGAAGAAGAGGGGCCACTGCAATGAGAAGCTCCAGCACCAGAACTAGAGAGTGGCCCCCACTCGCCACAACTGCAGAAAAGCTGGCCTAACAGTGAAGACCCAGCACGGCCAAAAATACAACAAAATTATTTTTTCTAAAAAGGTGGACACGTGCCCGGTGAGGGAGGGAGGGAAGGGTGTCTTGAGGGATGTGCTTTGGCGCCCAGGGCCCTGGGTGGGTGGTCCCCTGTCCATGCACAGGGCCGTGTGTAGCTCAGGGCTCAGGATACACACCTTTGAGACACACCTGAGCCCCAAACAGAAGGCGATTTCCTCTGAGGGCCGCTGTGTATAGAGCCTGTCACTCACAGCTTCTGATCCAAGCAGGAAGCCAGCCTGGGCCTACCTTCTGGTCAAAAGCACTGAGAGAATGGATGTCCGGGGTTGAGACAAAACTTGCCCAGGTCTGTAGGTGCGATGGGGACCACAATAGGGATTTTTTTTTTTGGTAAGCTGTATTTCATGGGTGCCTTATCAATGTTGGTGGTGCTTTTAATTTTATTGAAGCATAGCCGATTCAGGGGTGCCTTGTGATCATGAAGGCCGCATATCTGCACTTCAGGATCCGTGTGTCTGGGCTGGAGAGCAGGGATGTAAGAAGCTTCTCCAGTGGAGTCGGAGCCCTGGGATTCTTTGTACACGATCACACCTGAAGAAAGGCATCCCCTGCACAGCCAAACAACTCTTCCAGATCCCAAGCTGAGTCACAGAGATGCTCCCCAATGAAGCTGCCTTTATCTACCAGATAAGTTCAAACGCCTTGAGACAGAGCCCCAGGGTACTCCAGATGCCCCTCCCCATCTCCTGTCCCTCTCTCTAGGCCTTCAGAGGGTGATCCCAGGTCTCCAGATTTATGTCTAGGCTGTCTCCTCCCCCAGGTTTCTCCTTCTCACCCTGAAGGGCATACCAGTGGCGGCTCAGATGGTAAAGCATCTGCCTGCAATGTGGGAGAGCCGGGTTCAATCCCTGGGTGGGGAAGATCCCCTGGAGAAGAAAATGGCAACCCACTCCAGTACTCTTGCCTGGAAAATTCCATGGACCAAGGGGCCTGGTAGGCTACAGTCCATGGGGTCGCAAAGAGTCGGACACGACTGAGCAACTTCACTTTCACTTCACAAGACCAGTTCTAAACTGTCCTCTCAATACAGATGGGCCTCACAGGAGTGGCTGGACAGCACCTGTCATCTCTTCCCCTGCCCTCCTCCACACACCAGAAGAATGCTCATCACAGTCCTCAGGGATCGCCACTTTTAAGCTCTCTCTTCTCTGTCATCCTAGTTGGAAACTTATTCTTAGAACCTAGACACAACAGCTGCACAGTAAAGGTTCAGAAAACAGCAAAAGACAGAGAGGGAGGGTGGGGGAGAGAGAAAGGAAGGAAAGAAGGAAGGGAGAGAAACAAAGGAAGGAAGGGAGACCTAATTGTCAGCTAATAGTCAGGTTGAGAAGAAAGCTCTCTGGAACTGGCCTACCTGACGACTGCTAGTGTAGAATTCCTGGGCAAGTGACTGGGCCTCAGAGTTTCAACCTGTAAGATGGGGGAATAATATAAGAATCCACCTGGGAGGCTAGCTGCAGAGTTACATGAGATAATACAGGCAGAGCGATCAGAAGGGTGCCCGGCACAAGTTAAGCACTCAGTAGAATAAGGAGGGATGGTGTTATTCCCTTCTGGCTGAAGCGTTCCCCTCCGCCCCCACCCCCACCCCCAGAGTCCCTGGCAAACAGCAGGCTTCAGCAAGCGCTGAACAGACAAGACCGCGCCAGCCCTCATACTTCCGAAGGCAGACTGTAGGCACTTTGGAAACCTGTCCTAGGCATGGGGTAACAGGGAGCAATCTAGGCTCCCTGCAGACTTGGGGCGCATCTGAGGGGAGGAGCCTCCCGGCTAGGGGCTACCACCCACTCCAGCCTTCCAGGTCCTCGGTCACAATTCCCTCCGAGTGACTCAGCCCAGCACGGGGCCGCCTGTTTAGCGAAGATAATCATAGGGAAGCCGCTGGGGTCAGCGCTCGTTCGCCGCGAGGCCCCCTCCCCTGGCCCGCCTTTGGGGAAAACAAAGCCGTCAGAACAGAAGGGGACAGTCGGCCGGGATCGGGAGATGAACAACGAACCCAGACCCTAACCTCTGTGCAAGGCTGGCCGGAGAGGTCGTGATGGTCGCTCCTGATGGGGGAAAGGGTGAGGAATTGGGCCCTCGAGGGCCTGCCAATTCCAGTCCGGAGAGCCTGGCTCCAGGATCTCGCGCCCCAAGGTGGGGGCAGCAGCCCCCAAGGCCGTCCGGGGACTGGGGGAAGGTGTTAGAAGGATGTGGCAGCGAAGGCCCGGAGTCCCCGCCCGGGGTCCCCTCCCCGGCCCCCCGCAGCCCCAGCCTCAAATCCGGCTTACCGCGTCTAGATCGTCCTGACCGCCCGGCTTCTGGGTCCTCCGCCTTCTGCCTGGGTCAGCTGATCGGAGGCCCCGCCCCGTCTCGCCTCGCCCCGCCCCGGAGCTGCTTGGCTCCGCCTCCCGAGCGGCGTTGCGGGCGGGGGCGGTCCCCGGAGGCGTGGCCAGCGAGCCTTGCGCGCGGAGGGGCGGGGTGACGAGCCGCCATGTCCCGGTCCCCGCGGGCCGCCTCTGGCTCCCCGGCCCGGCCCGCCACCGTGCTGGGCACCATGGGGATGGGGCGCCGCATGGACGCGCCCGCCAGCGCCGCGGCCGTGAGCGCCTTCCTGGAGCGCGGCCACGCTGAGCTGGACACGGCCTTCATGTATAACGACGGCCGGTCCGAGAGCATCCTGGGCGGCCTGGGGCTCGGGCTGGGCGGCCGCGACTGCACAGGTAACGCCCGGTGCTCCGACCGCCCGTTCTCACCCCGCCGCGTGCGGCGCAGACCCGTGCGCCGGACGGCGACCCAACCCAGCCACACCCCTGCAGCGGCCAGGGCCGGCAGCTCCGTCCGCTTCCGGGGCACCGACCTCCCCTCGCCGTCCCGCAGTTTTGTGGACCACCCCCCCGCTCGCTCTTCGAGCTCCGTGCGCATCCAGTCCGGACAGCTGAAGAGCGCTTTCTCCGGACGACCTTCCCCTCCGCTCTTGTGGGGTTGCAACTCGGTAGCCCCCGAGTCTTAGCCGAGCCTAGTCTAGTCCTTGCTTTCCTACCTCTCTCGCTCTCTTGGTGCTGCTGTCTGCGGCACCGGACTCCAGAGCTGTGCCCTAACCCGCTTGCCAGGTGCGCGTAAACGGTCCACAGGCGCTCTGCCTCCGCCACTCTCCCCATTGCCTTCCCCGCCGGTGCGCCCCCTCGAGCTCCCTTTTCATCAGGCACTAGACTTCGTTCATTTGGCAGTACCCTTGGCTCTCCCACGGAGAGCTGCAGCATTGCCCCTGGCAAGGCTGGGAGAGCAGGGGTGGTGGGCTGAAGAGTGGGGAGGTGTGAGAGATGGGGTAAGGGCTTCGTGTCCACTTCTGTAGCCCCGTGCCAGCTTCTTATGGAGGTATAACCCACCTCCAGGGAGCTTGTCATCTAGTGGGGAAGATGGAAGCAAATGATGGCAGAGGAGCCTAGAAGAGGAAGCACTTTTAGGGGAGGAAGGCTTGAGGAGGCCAGGGAGAGGACCTCCGAAAGGCTCAGAATGTCCTGGAGCTGGCCCCTCGAGGACCAGGTGTACTTTGCTGGGCAGAGAATGAGAGAAAGGGGTTTGAGAGGCAAAGGGCACAGCTGTGCCAGGACTGGTGTGTGGAAGGATGGCCTGGAGGCAGGTGTGGCTTGAGTAGAGGCTCTGTGTGTGGAGGGATGGTCCCTCATTGGCCTGATGCCACTGGACGTGCCTAGGAGGTTGCCTGGAGCTTGGTAGGTCTGACTCAGTAAACTTGGCTGTTACTGTTCCTACCGCACTCTGCCTCCTCTCTTTCATCCTGAGGCTCTTCCTTCCCAGCCCTTGTGGGTGGTGCCCTCTGGGTTGGCCTTAGATTCACAGCTTGGTGGATCTGCAGGAACTGGGAATGTGCATCTCAGACCCATGCTCTAGCTCACCTGCTGCTTCTCTTGGCTAATGAAAATCTGGTTTCTGAACTGGTTTTTCTCGCTCAGGCCCTTTCCCGCTTCCTTCTTTGAGGCCAGCGCTCACTGCTTACTGAGTCCCAAGTCCTCACGTTGGACCCAGGGCAAAGTTCACACCAAGAATGCAGCAGGGAGATTGACAGATATGGGGATGGAGAAAATCTGGACTGGAAGCTGAGGGACTTGTTCCTCCCCTCTGAACCACCAAGTTGCCTTTGCCAAGTGTGAAAAGTACAGAATCCAAAGAGCTGGCATTCTTCTTTCCTTTCTTTTGTTTGCTGCATTGCAAGGCTGAGGCCTGCGTAGTTCCCAACCAGGGATCTAAACCCCTGCAGTGGAAGCACGCAGCCCTACCCACTGGACCACCAGAGACGTCCCAGAGAGAAGGCATTCTTTACAGCATTTCCAAGCTGCCTGCATGACAGACAGAGCACTCTCCTGTTCTGCTGAGGCGGGGGTGGGGGTGGGGGGTGCGCCTCTACAGTGGGGGTGCAGCTGTGCATGCTTCCAGGAATCGAGAAGGGAGAGGCAAACTGCCACTGCCTTCTGCTCATTTTGCCTTCTACCTCTCTCTTAAATGGACCTGCCAGGGGCCACGTTCTGCAGCTGCATCTCTTTCCCGAATTCTTGTAGCAGCTTGTATACTTGGTCCATCTCCAGACGTGTCTGTCTTATGGCAGCCAGAGTGAACGCAGCTAACTGGTTCACTCATGAAACCTTTGAACCATGGTTGGGATTTGAGAAAACCCTTTGGAATTGGGCCTGGGCCCCCTTCTTGTCTCGTGTCCCAGTGCTTCCTGCCTGGGGTTCACGCTCTTATAACTCAGTGATCCACCTACTGTGCTTTCTTGCCTTTGCCCAAGTTCCCACCCTCTGAAACGTGCTTCCCACCCTTCCTTGTTAGCTGGACTCTTTTTTCAGAGACTCAACTTCGGGGGTCAGGAAGCCCTCCCTTGAATTCCTCAGTTGGACATGCAGGTCTGCTCTGGGCTCTACTGCGCATTCATATTTAACATCAGCCTCTAGCCTGTGAGCGCCTTGAGGGCAGAGATGGGAGTGTGTTTCGGTCATCTCTGCAGACTTGGGCTCTGCCCCAAGGCTCACCAGCCAGCAGTCGTGACTAATAGCGGCAGTGAACATCAGGAGCTCACATGAGACATTAATTCTCATGCTCTCCTTATGAGGACAGATCCATCGTTTTCACCCTCATGTTGTAGATTAGAGAATTGAAACTCTGAGAACTTAAGTAATTTCTCCAGGTCATGTGGCCAGTGAATGGTTACATTAACCATTACATCCTTCCTCCAAAGCGAAAATTGCCACCAAGGCCAATCCCTGGGAGGGGAAATCATTGAAGCCTGACAGCCTCCGGTCCCAGCTAGAGACGTCCCTCCAGCGGCTGCAGTGCCCCCGGGTCGACCTCTTCTATCTGCACGCACCAGACCACGGCACCCCCGTGGAAGAGACGCTGCGCGCCTGCCACCAGCTGCACCAGGAGGTGAGGGCGGCCCCCCGCCCCCCGCTCCCCGCCCTGGCCTGTCAGTGCCCAGAGAGCAGAGGCTCCAGGGCGGTCCCAGAGCACAGCTGCCGGGGCTGGACCCAATGCCCAGGGTCCCAATCTCTGGGACTGGCATTCTGGGCTGTGGGGGGATCTGACCGTGGCCTCTCCCCCGCAGGGCAAGTTCGTGGAGCTCGGCCTCTCCAACTATGCCGCCTGGGAGGTGGCCGAGATCTGTACCCTGTGCAGGAGCAACGGCTGGATCCAGCCCACCGTGTACCAGGTGAGGCCGGGGCTGCAGACGCCCGTCTCCAGGGCGCCTGCGGTCCCAGCTCCTCTTGGGCCATCCCCTGCCCCCACCTGCCCGCTCCAGAGCAGCCACTCCCCTGCTCCCAGCCTGTAGACGGGCCCCTGGGGGCCCTCAGCCTGGCCACGGGCGCCCGCCCTCTCAGGCCCTAGCCCCCCTTCCCGCCTGCTTCTGGCTCTGTGGTCAGCCCGGACTTGCCTCCCCCTTCTCCCTGGAAGGAGTGCCTGGACGTCACTTAGATACCTTTCCTCTGGAAGCCTTTCCCGACAGCCCAGTGGGTCCTCCAGTCTCCAGACCCCATCTTTACGCATTGAGCGAGTATTTCTGAGAATCCGCCGTGATCACAGAAGCCACCTTTCTGTGATCACCTGTCCTGTCTTTTCTTTTTTTGTTGTTTGTTTATTTGGCTGCCTCAGATCTTAGCTGCATCATGCCGGGTCTTTCATGGCGGCCCATGGACTCTCTAGTTGCGGCTCTCAGGCTTAGTTGCCCTACCAGGGATCAGACTCGTGTCTCTTGCTTTGCGAGGTGGAGTCTTAACCACGGAACCATCAGGAGAGCCCACTCTGCTTTGTTTTTAACTCGACTCTGACATCTCTTGAAGCAGAGGCCTCACCAGATCCACGTGTTTGAGAGCTCAGGCTCCAGCCCGCGTGCGGTTGGTGCCTGCAGATGTGTGTGGGATGGCAGAGCCAGGCCGCCTTCCCTTCCTGGGGCCCAGCACCATCTCTCCGTCCAAAGTAGTGACTTTGAAACCATGCTGGAGTCCTGGGGGGGTCTTGACCGAACACTTTGAGAGCAGGATGTGGCCCCCTGGCCGGCCCCCGCTCAGCTGGCCCTTCCGCCTGCAGGGCATGTACAACGCCACCACCCGACAGGTGGAGACGGAGCTCCTGCCCTGCCTCCGGCGCTTTGGACTGAGGTTCTACGCCTACAACCCTCTGGCTGGTACGGGCTGTGGGGCTGCTGTGGGCACAGGCTCCCCTGGGCGGGAGGGCCTTCCCGACCCCGTTTCTGCCCCTTCCTGACCCGGGAGAAGCCTGGCCCCAGACCTGGGAAGGGGAGGGGGTTGCCAGGACCTCCATCCCTCCTGGTTCCCCTGCTATCACCCCCACTTCCGGTCCAGATGGCCTCTGGGGGCGGTGGCTGGGGGTCTGACTGCAGCCTTCCCACAGGAGGCCTGCTGACCGGCAGGTACAAGTATGAGGACAAGGACGGGAAACAGCCCGAGGGCCGCTTCTTTGGGAACAGCTGGGCAAAGGTCTACAGGGATCGGTGAGCTGCGGGCGGACGGTGTCAGGACGTGTGGGGTGGGAGGGGGTCCCCAGAGTCTGAAATGGAGACACTCCTAGGCTGCTTTCCTAGGGCCTGCAGGCTTTTCCTTGCTGCCTGGACCTAGCTCTCTTGAATCCTGGAGGAATTAGGAAACCCTCTGGAGGGTTTCTTCTTGTATTCTTGGAACCCCTGAGAGGAATGAGGCTCCCTGGACCTCATGCTCAACCTTCCAAGGCATGGTTCATCCCTGAGAAGTCGTGATCACCCTCCAAGAGGGAAAGACGGCCCCAGATGGAGGAGCAGGCGGCCGGGGCCGGGTGGGGCCCCTGTACTGGCTGCCTGTTTCTCCAGGTAAAGTAAGGGCAGGGTTAGAGTTCTAAGAGCAGAGACATCATGAGGTCTCTGGTGAGGGAGCCAGCATCCTGGGTGGTTCCGCTGCCCCCCAAAGCAGGAGACGTCCTGCTTGAGGGGACACCAGCCCCTCGATACTGCAGGCTTGGGGTGGGTGCAGCTGCCCGGTTGACTCTTAGGCAGTGGCCCCCCGTATGACCCCGTGGTCCTGACCCCGTGCTACCTTCCCCACCTGTCCAGCTACTGGAAGGAGCACCACTTCGAGGGCATCGCCCTGGTGGAGAAGGCCCTGCAGGCTGCATACGGCACCAGCGCCCCGAGTATGACCTCAGCCGCCCTCCGGTGGATGTACCACCACTCCCAGCTCCAGGTAACCTCCCCTCACCCCCCACTATCCCCGGAAGACCCGCTCCTGCTCTCTTTGAGGAGCCAGCATGATTTCTATATCGTTTTTCCCTCTGAAATCTCCCTCTGGTCCGGTTCTCACGGCAGCCTTCCTGTTGTTCTGGGTAGCTACCCAAATTCCAGGCTCTGTCACAAGGGCGTTACAAGCACGGATTGAATGATTGCTTAGGGCTGATGAAGTGGGATTGTTCCAGTTTTACTGATGAGCAAACATCTGTGAATGGGAGAGAAAGTTATGGTCACGGACTTGATATAAAACCCGCCGGTCCTGCTCCTCTGGGGGGAGAGGGGTTTCCTTCTCTCTTTGGTGTCCCGTCTTCTGGCTGAAGCTTTTCTCCAGCCTCAGCCGTTCACAGTTGCACAGTCTCTGGCACGTATATAGCAGGTTTGCAATAAATGGGAGTTAGGTGCTTTGAATAATTTCTCATTCCTATAAGCATGGTGAAAACTGAGATCTGAGTCTTGGGGGTTAAAAAGCTAAACCACATTCACACAGCTGCTGATGGCAGAACTGGAGTCTAAACTGAGGTCTGAATGAGGGTGAGCGTCGTGGCAGCTGGACGGAAGAAGACGGGGTTTTGGGGGTCACATAGTTATGATTGTTGAAGGCACCGTGAGCGCTTGTACAACTATGTAGGGTGTGAAGAAGATGCCCAACCCCAGGTCCTGGCAGGGGCGGGACTGGGAGGGGGTGTGTGACGGGGTCCCTGTGGAGCATCGGTGTGTGACGTCTGGTCATCTCCCCTTGCAGGGCGCCCATGGGGACGCGGTCATCCTGGGCATGTCCAGCCTGGAGCAGCTGGAAGAGAACTTGGCGGCCACTGAGGAAGGGCCCCTGGAGCCGGCCGTTGTGCAGTCCTTTGATCAGGCCTGGCGCCTGGTTGCCCACGACTGTCCCAACTACTTCCGCTAGGCTCCTGCCCAGATCAGGCGCTGAAGAGTTCTTCCTTTTCTGTCGCCTCTTCTGCGCTCTCCCTGGCTGGTCTTTGCCTTAAGCTGGTTTCGCGTGGTCTTCCTCCACTGTCTGGATCCAGGCGTTACTCTTCTAGACCCCCGCCTCGCTCCCTGTTGCCCTCACAATGTATAATGCCGTGGGCTGAGCCCCTCTGGGGCACTTCCCGTCTGAATGAAGCCAACCCTAGGCCTGCCTGTAGCCCGGACACTGAGTGGACCCGCAGATCTGTCTCCTCAGCTGTTGTGACTTGGCTCCTCCCTGCCTGGGCCTTCCTGCCTGAGGGGTGGAACCACGGGCCAGAGCCTCCATGGGGCAGAGGCGGCGGGAGGGCCCCCAGCCTGGCCTCTTGGTGGGCTGCAGGCGGCCCTCACCTTCCCCCATGCCAGAGGGAAAGGGGGCCGTCCCCCCTGAGGTGGCTTTTCTCTCCGAATTATCTCACTAAATACTCAGAAATGGAAGGATTTGGGCAAAAACCTTGCAAGAAGGGTTAAAAAACCGCAGGATGCTGTGGGACATTTTAACACACAGTCATTTCAGCAGTGGCTATAAAAAAAGGGAAAAAGTGGGCCTTTCCTGGAGGTCCAGTGGTTAAGACTCTGTGCAGGGGGTGCAGGTTCGATTCCTGCTTGAGAGGTGAGGATCCCACATACTGTGGGGCCCACCCCTCTAAACAAAAGCAGTGCCTCTGCTCGTAGCTGAAGCCGCCTGTCATCTGCTCATGCACAGATTCTCAGCTGTGCTGCTGAGCCCCCCTCTGTCAGAGCAGGCCCGGGCAGCCAGGAACCGTTTCCCTCAGCAAATCCCTGCTCCAAGCAGGAGACCCCCAAGGCTGCAGAAGAAATGAGATCCCAGGTCCGGTTGTTTCTGTTAGAACATCACGCCTGGGTGAGGGCTGTGAGCCAGGCAGCACCGGAATCTGTCTCTCAAGTGGCGACAGGGGCTCAACTCAGAAATGCGGCCAAAGGCACCAATCAGAGGCGCTCTAGTCCAAAGGAAAGTCCTGCTTGCCGTCTGGAAGGAGACACTCTGCAGATATAGTTTGAATATTTGAAACTTTGCTTTGTCTTCACCCGTAATAAAATGATGCTTTCCCGAATGGGGTAATTGCCCTGCTTGTATGATCAGCCGTTGTTGCCCAACAAGCCACCCCAAAACTGAGTTGCTTAAGATGACGAAGTCTGAAATGGACCTAAGAAGGTGCAATTCAATTTCTATCAAAACCCCTGCTAGATTTTTTCTTACAGATATTGACAAAATTATTTTTAAATTCATATTTGAAATTCAAGGGATACAGAATTGCCAAAACAAGCAAGAGCAAAGTTCTCCAGTTCCTGATATCAAAGCTTACTACAAAGCTACAGAAATAAAAAACAGTATGGACCGGCATGAGGATAGATATAGAGACTGATGGAACAGACTTGAGAGTCCAGAAATCCATAATAGACTAAAAGCAGAAATAGCTCAAAAGGTCCAACAACTGGTGGATGCATAAATTAAAAGTGATATATCCACACCGTGGAATATTCTGCCAATAAAGAAATGAAGTAATGAGACACCTATGATGCGGATGAGCCTGTTTTGCTGTAAGCTTTACTTAAACATTTTAAGTTCAAAAGATTTGTCAGCCAAAGAAATCAGTTGTTACACATAAACAATTTTGATTTTTTGTAATTATTTGTCTTAATTTCAATATACAGTTATTAAAAGAAATAGAAACAGTAAGGAAAAGTAACTCTACATATATCACCAAATTGGGCTGACCAACTTCCCGACTTGACGAGTGCTGCAAAGTCCCTTGTTAATAGCAATATGGAGTCGCAACTGGGAAAGGGTCCATCCCACAGGTGAGACTTCAAATTGCAGTTTCAGGGCTCCCGCTTATAATTCCAGGGTGCAGACTGATACGCAAAAATGCAGCTCTCGTTTTACTTTGACAGTGCTGTTTGTTTAACTTTGTGAGTTGTAAGACTTCTTAGACCTGGGGGGCTTGGCCAGGCCTTCGGGGGCTTGAGAGATTCCAAGACCCCCTCCCCTTCTTATCTGAAGTGCTGCCTGACATGCTGTGCTTGCAGCGGGCACAGAGTCCTGCAGCGTCCATGCAGGTTAGAATCAGAGGCCTGCTCTCCTGCCTCTGAAGCCTGAGCAAGACTACCTCCCTTTAATTTCCCTAACAGAACCTTGAAGGTGATACACAAAGTGAAAAATGACAGTTCCAAAAGGCCTCATATTATCTGATTTTCGTGGAATGTCTGGAATGGGGAAATCTGTTAGAGACAGAAACTAGACTTGTGGTTCCCTAGGGCTGAGAGACGGCTTGGAGATTAGCTGCTAATGAGTACAGGTTTCTTTGGGGGTGGTGAAAATGGAGGAAGAGGAGATTAACTGTTAATGAGCAGAGGTTTCTTTTGTTGTTCAGTTGCTAAGTCGTGTCCAGCTCCTTGCGACCCCGTGGACTGCAGCACGCCAGGCCTGCCTGTCCTCTATCTCCCAGAGTTTGCTCAAACTAATGTGCCTTGAGTAGGTCATGTTTCTTCTGGGGGTGATGAAAATGCTTTAAATTTGATTGTGATGCTTGTACAACACTGAATACACTAAAAGCAAAAAGACGACACCTTCTCGTGTATTCTTTTTTAAAGAATGGTGTGTGTCTGGCTGTGCTGGGTCTTTGCTGCTGCACGCGGGTTCTCTCGTTGCGGGAAGTGGGGGCTGTTCTTCGCCGAGGTGCCTGGGCTTCTTGCTGCAGTGACTTCTGCTGTTGCAGGGTACGGGCTCTGGGGCACACAGGCTTCAGTAGTGGGCTCTGTGGTGTGGCCCATGGGCTTGGTTGCTCCCCGGCATGTGGACTCTTTCTGGACCAGGAACTGAACCCATGTCCCCTGCGTTAGCAGGCAGACTCCCAACCACTGGAACACCAGGCAGATCCTGAGTTGTGTACTTTAAATGGGTGTCTAATAATGTGGATTATGTCTCACTAAAGCTGTTTAAAAAAAAAACCAACACAGTCATTTAGCTCAGAAATCTGTCACTTGGCAGGGCCCAGTGGGGAACAGGCCTCTGTTCCCCAGTGTCTGAGAAGTGGCATGACACCTGGAGGCTAAAATCACCTGCGGCTTCTTCACACATCTGGCAGTTAATGCTGATGGTCAGCTATTGTCATCACTTAACACACGACCCCTCCATGTGGCCTCGGCTTCCACACAGCATGCCAGCTGGCTTCCAAGGACAAGCATGTCAGGAAAACCAACATCTCTCTTGTCTCATGGAGGAGTGTCTACGCTATGTTGTAGAAAGAGGACGGGAAAGGAATAAATGGTCGTCTTTGGAAAATAAACTCTGTCTCTGGGTGCAGTGGTTCTAAGTGGTCAAGTCAAGAAGATGAACTTCTTGACTGGTCAGGAGACCTTTAGCACTGAGTGTCTCTGTTAGGGATGTGTTATCTGCTAGGTCATTTCCCATCTGCTAGAAACTTTCAGGGAGTATATATCACACATACTTGATGGTGACTTGGATTCAGTCATTTCAGTGCTAAAAAGACAGAGTTGGTTCTAGAAAGTGACAAACATAACCTCACAGTAGAGACTCATGTGTAGGGTATAAAAGACTGGAGAATGGCTTGGTACAGGTTTTGTATTCTCAAATCAGTATGACAGAAGGGGGACTCCTGAGGCTAAAGACTCACAGGAGGGCATTTGGGCTGACCTGGGTGCCTAGTCTTCATCCTGGCCTGCTTGTTACTTGTGGTTGTGACGGTTAATTCACCATGGTGATGGTTAATTTCAGATTTGCATTCTGAATACATTTTAGAAGCAATAAGGAAGGTAAGAATGTCAGGATCCACATTGCTTATGAGAAAGTGCGTGTCTGTTCCATAGGGTTTTAAATGGTTTGTGTGTTTTGTCCTGTTCTGCCAGGCCTTCGCTGCCGTGCGGGCTTTCTCTGGCTTCAGCGAGCGGGGACTGCTCTCCAGTTGGAGTTGCGGTGCTTGGGCTTGGCGTCGTGGCTCCTCCTGCCGCAAGGCACGGGCTCGAGGTGCATGGGCTTAGCTGTTCCGTGGCGTTTGGACTCTTCCCAGACTAGGGATTGGACCTGTGTCACCTGCATTGGCAGGCAGATTCCTATACGCTGTAACACTGGGGAAGTCCCATAGGTTTTTCATTTATTTATTTTTTTTAACAATCACTGTCATGCACGAAAATTTGTAAGTGTATGGCCACCACAGAAACATGTATATTTTCATTATTGAACTTTAAAACGGAAAGCTTTACTTTGAATTACATGAACTGGGTGGAAAAATGCTAGCTATTATTGAAATTGACGGATTTTCTGTTTGAAGTATGTGACGGAAATACAAAACTGGCAATCTTTTCTTTCTTTCCTTTTTTTTTTTTGTTGTTGTTGTTGGCTGCATTGCATGGCATGTGAGAACCTAGCTCTTGACCGTGGATCAAAGCCATTCCCCCTGCAGTGGAAGCATGGAGCCTTAACCACTGGACCACTGGACCAGGGATGTCCCTGGCATTATTTTCTATTTGTGAAGTATTTCTGTTCTTCATACCACACATCAAAAGCTATTGCTTTACTCCTCTGATGTGCATAAGAGATGTTAGGATGAAAAACCAGCAAATTAAAAAATCATTTTATTCAAGTATGGTTGATTGACAATGTTCTATTAGTTATAGTTATCCAGCAAAGTGATTCAACTCTTACATCTGTTCTTTTTCAGATTCTTTTCTCTTATTTTTTTCTTTTTTCAAGTCGCTCAGTCGAGTCCGACTCTTTGCGACCCCCTGGACTGTAGCCCACCAGGCTCCTTGGTCCATGAGATTCTCCAGGCAAGAGCACGTACAAAATACTGAGTATCGTTCTCTGTGCTGCGCGGTAGGTCCTTCCAGGCGTCTCTTTTATACATGGCAGTGTGTACGTGTTAATCCCAAACTCCTAGTCTGTCCCTCCCCGCCTTTCCCCTCTGGTGACCGTAAGTTTGTTTTCTGTGTCTGTGGGTCTACTACTTTTTTGAATATAAATTCATTTGCATCTTTTTTTTTCTTTTTTTTAGATTCCACACATAAGTGATATCGTCTGATGTTCGTCTTTGTCTGACTTACTTAGTGTGATATTCTCTAGGTCCATCCCTGCTGCAAGAGAGACATTATTTCATTCTTTTTTATGCCAGAGAAATATTCCATTGTGTACATATATTTATATATATATATATATACATATATATATATATATACACACCACATCTTGATTCACTCATCTGTCAACATTTAAGTTGCTTCCATGACTTGGCTATTGTAAGCAGTGCTGAACTGAACATAGGGGAATGTGTATCTTTTCAAATTAAGGTTGTCTCAGAATATGTGCCCAGGGATGGGATTGCAGGATCATATAGTAATTCTATATTTGGTTTTTAAAGGAGTCTCCATATTATTTTCCATAGTAGCTGTACCAATTTACATTCCCACCAACAATGTAGAAGGTTCCTTTTTCTCTATACCCTCTCCAGCATTTAGTATTTGTAGACTTTTTGATGATGGCCATTCTGACCAATGTGAAGTGATACCTCATTGTAGCTTTGATTTGCATTTCTCTAATAATTTTATTGAGAAAGAACAGTTATTTAATCTAGATCAGAAGTTATGTGGTAAGAAAATAAACTCCCTATATTGTACAAGGTAAATCACCTTTTTCCAGTGAAATTTTCTACTTCAAAAATTAGCAATTATTGGATATTTCCTGGTGGTCCAGTGGTTGAGGCTCCGCACTTCCACTGCAGGTTCAATCCCCACTTGGGGAATTAAGATCTTACAAGCACACAGCCCAGTGCCACCCCCCCCCCAAAAAAAATTAGCAATTATTTCAAGATGCTCATGCAACTTGTCTCAGTTACTTTGGCCTGCTATAACAAAATACCGTAGTCTGGGTGGCTTAAATAACAAACAATGCTTTCTCATGGTTTTGGAGGCTAGAAGGTCCAAGATGAGGGCGCCAGCATATTTGAAGGCTGTGAGGGCCTCTTCATGGTTGGAGAGCCTCTTTCCTTTCCGCTGTGTCCTCACGTGTCTGACAAAGAGCTCTCTAGTCTCTTCCTCTTCTTCTGAGGATGCTGATCCTATCATGAGGCCTCCAGCCTCATATCTCATCTAAAGCCAGGCACCTCCTGAGGACCCCGCCTCCTGACACCATCACCTTGGGCTCAGAGTTTCAACATATGAGTTTGGGGAGCACACACATTCAGTCTATAACCCCAGTTCTGGTTTGTGTTTTCTGCTTTTCACATGGCCAGTGGTGTGATTACATTCCCCAAGGCAGATGGTAAATGTTGACTGATACTATGAACAAGTTATGAATTTATTATCAGCTTTCTTAAGAAATCAAAATTTTGTGTTTAATATTTGATGAACTAGGCATCTGACCTTTTCCAAACCGACAGTTGCTTTGACTCTGATCCTTTGGCTAATGCTGTTCCTGATGAAGGAAGTCCAGTGGCTAAGATGCTAGGCTTTCAGTTCAGGGGGTCTGGGTTCGATCCCTGATCAGGGAAGTAGATCTCCAGTGCTGCACCTAAGATCTCAAATGCCTCAGGGAAGACTGAGTGCAGCCAAATAAATAATTTTTTTAAAATCAAGTACAAAACTATAACCTATTTTTTAAAGAAAAAATAATAGCTCTTCTGTGCTGATGCATCCCCTGCCTTCAGGGAGGAAATGCAAAACCTGAGAGGTTTATGCTGAGGTGGAGGGAATGTTCTCCTCATGTAAAGTTCTGTCACTGTGGCTTGTTGATAAAGGGATTGGTACTATGGCCTGAAACTGAACTGAACATGAGAACTTTTGAGTATTTCATCTAGAGTAAAGTGGCCATTCCCTTACTGAACTGCATAGCTGATTAAAGCACTTAGAATTTGGTGAGGCCGTCCAAGCACAGGTGGGAAAAAAAATTTCCAGACACAGAGCATTTCGGAATGGAGTGAGTTTATTAAGAGCAAGAAGCAGAGATAATGAGGATGCCGGAAGCAAGGAAGCGAGTCAGCCTCCTGACAGGCCAGGGAGAGCTGAGGGACCCTGGGAACAGTGGGCTGGCTGAGGGGGAGCCGGCACTTTTCGGGTCAGTAGCCAGTTTTTCTAGCCTCGGGATGAAACTCCTGCTGGAAGGTCGGGATTAGCTGATTGGTTAGAGAGCTGCAGGGTGAGTGCGGGGTGGGCGCTTCTGCCGCATGTGGGGTCAGGAAGCCTGCTGCTGATGGTCAGGGGGCTTTTGGCAACAGTTACAAAGGGGCTCAGTCAGCTTCGGAGCTGCCCTTGGTTCTGGCCTCTGTGCCTGTGGCCTTGGTACAGCCTCGCAGCTGTGGCCTTGGGGCAGGACTGCACAGAATTGTTTGTGTGAGGTGCAGATGCTTTGATGTGCTGGTTAGAAGCATTCATGATGCCTAAGGATTGCCTCCATAACTTTAGCAGAAAGCATTAAGGGGGACATCTGATATTCCAGAGACTTCAAAGTCAAGGGGCTGTAACAGCACCACTCATAGGGGAGAAAAAAGTACCCTCCTCAATCAAGGGTTACTGCAATGCTGTCTCTCAGTTTAATAGCCTTATCTCTGAAAAGA